CAGTCTGAGTGTGCAGAGGTGAGAGGATGGAGCTGAGGCTGACATGTACAGTCTGAATGTGCAGGGGTGAGGAGGACAGGGCTGAGGCTGACGTGTTCAGTCTGAGTGTGCAGGGGTGAGGAGGACAGGGCTGAGGCTGACGTGTTCAGTCTGAGTGTGCAGGGGTGAGGAGGATGGGGCTGAGGCTGACATGTACGGTCTGAGTGTGCAGGGGTGGTGTGGCAGACAGGGTTTATCCACGTAGAACAGACTCCTGTTGAAGGACCTGAAGCATCCCTGGGTCTTTTGTGTTTCCAACAGTAGCTAGAAGTGTTCTGTGCACAATTTTGTTTTATAATTTTTCTATGCACATTGGGTAGTTAATGTCTAATCCCAGTTTGGGTTTGAGCTGTTGTGTACTCATAGTACCTTTAATTACTTTCATGATTATTTTTATAGTTTAATAGAATTTTAAGCTTGTTTAAATTTGTTCTTTTTTGGTTTGGGTTTTTTTTTTTTGGTTGTTGTTGTTTTGTTTTGTTTCTCAAATCAGGGTTTCTCTGTGTAACAGCCTTCGGCTGTCCTGGAACTCCCTCTGTAGACCAGGCTGGCCTCAAACTCATAAAGATCCACCTGCCTCTGCCTCCTGAGTGCTGGGATTAAAGGCGTTCACCACCACCACTTAGCTTAAATTTGTCCTTAAATATACTTGATAGTGAGTGTTGGGGAGTGGGGGCATTATTCCCTAGGGCCAATCCTGTGACCGTAGTGACTGGAATGGCATTTGCCAGCTCTAAATATTACAGCTTACAAAAGTTAGAATAACGAAAGTCAGACTTTTGCTTCTTGCTTGCCTTTTTTTTAATAATTAAATGAGTATTATAGTATCCAAGTGAGTGTGAGCACACACAGATACACGATGGGGGTGGGCACACACGTGGAGAACAGCTCTGGGTTGGTTCTTTCCTTCCACTTTGGTGTAGTTCTGCGCCATCTTGCTGGAGCGTCTTGCTTGGTTTGACTCATTGCTGTATCCCGGGGCTGTGGCAAAGCATTTTGCGGTATGTGTTCAAAAAACTGATGGCTTCTCCTCTGAGCCCCTTAAAAACCATGCAGAACCCTCACGATGACTCAGCGGGCAGAGGTGTTTGCCACTGAGCCCAAGGACCTCAGCTCCATCCCTAGGACCCACGTGATGGAAGGCGAGAACCCACGCTCTCAGGTTCTCCTCTGACTTCCAATCCAACATGCATGAACGCACATAAAAGAAACAGAGATAAGTATAAATATGTGAACATTTTTAAAAATAATTATGAGCCAGGCACTGGTGAGATGACTCAGCCGGTGAAGATCCTTTCCCCAAGCCTGACAACCCGTGTTTTAAGCCCCATATGGAGGAAGGAGAGACCCAGCTCCCACAAGTTGTCCTCTGACCCGTGGAAGCGCATCACGCCATGCACAACTCCCACATACAAAATGAAAACGAATGGAACGACATTAAATGTAATAATTCTGTTCTGGAGGACGTCCTTCCTGGAGTGAGGATACATGTGGGTGTAACTCTGCCAAAATTTAATAAAAGAACCAGGACCGGACCTTCAGTGCTTATAAGGTTGAGCGGCCCAGCTAAGCATTTCCAGGCCTTTGCTTTAGAAATTAAGCTACATGAACAAACATGGAATTGGTAGTTGTGTTAGGAATTTTCTCTTTAGGAACCGGGATGTGCTGAAGTGCTATGCTCGTGTTGGGGGCATACTTCAGCAACTTCTAAAGAAGTGTAGGCGTTTTAGCTCAGGAAGCCTAAGGAATCTTAAACAGACCTGGAAAGCAGTCCTCTAATTGAGAGGCCAGCTCGACACAGCTTGTAAGGATGGGGACTATTGGGGGCTGGCAAGAGGTAGGTTTCTGTGCTACCTAACTTCACTAGAGACAAAGAGCTGACGTGACAGGGGAGATAATGGGAGTGGGGTTGCCTACGTAGTCACAGGATGTATGTATGCAGAGGCGGGTATACACACCTACGCCGGCTTATTCATAAATGTGCATTCATGTTTATCGCATCCAACAAATGTAGACAATTAGCACCTCCTGATTTGTATGTGAGAACAGTATTAAAGGCCCAGATACATGATAACTGTCTGCGTCAAAGCCCTCATTGCCATGCAGAATCACACCCTAAAAACAAACAGTACCCAGTCCTGTGTGGCGATGGGTCTTAAGAGGAACCAGCAAGTGACCTTGGTGTCACAGTGCTGAGGCAAGAACCAGGTGTGAGTTACAATCTTGTACCTGAAAGCCCCAAGTGTTAGCCAGCTGTGAGCTACTCTTATATCAGAAATCCCAAGTGGTAGGGGCTTGGAATGACATGAGAGAATTTCCCAAGATAGATATGGTTTCTAGAGACAAATTCAAGAGAGAAATCAGGACGATGTCACTCATATTGACAACTGATTTTACTTAATATACCATGTAAGAATGACTAATATGTAACACGTGAACATCAAAGGTATAATTTCAACAAGAATATTCATGTTGTAAATAATTTTTAAAGATTAATACATTAATGTTTCACGTAAAGTTTCCTGTACTTGTTTATTTGCATAGGGTCATGCACTTAATGCCTGTTTATAAGTATGTATGTACAATGCATGATGTAACATAAATAATATGTAATTGGGGTCAAGCATATATTGTACAACACATGCATGTTAATAAAATTTAGGAAAAAATTTATATATTGTCATTGTACTTGAGAAATAAAAATATGGGTCTAGAGAGAAGATTCAGTGGTTAACAGCACTAGCTGCTATTTCAGATGACCTAGGTTCGATTCCCAGTACCCACATGGCAGCTCACAACTGTCTGTAGCTCCAGTTCTAGGGGATCCAATATCCCCGGTCTGGCCTTTGCAGGCACTACACACACAACACATGGTGCACAGACATACATGTAGGCAAAACATCCACACACATAAAATAAAAATTAAAACAAAAAAAAATTTAAAACAAGCCGGGCACTGGAGGCACACGCCTTCAATTCCAGCACTCGGCAGGCAGAGGCAGGCAGGTCTCTAAGCATTCAAGGTCAGCCAGCCTGGTCTACAGAGCTAGCTTCAGGACAGCCAGGGCTACACAGAGAAACCAGGCCTTGAAAAGTAAATAAATAAATAGATAAATAAATAAAATATAAATGCAAAAAGATATTTTAAAAGATAAATAGCCCTCAAGAACAGAAGACGGAAATAGTTTAAACTAAAATACCAGCTCTGGGTTCCGACAGTGATTACTGCTTCTTTCTTGTTGTTTCAGTAAAACTGAGTCTCCATTCTTTGGTTTACTGCTATGCTCGGAGGGCTCTTCATTTAGGTCACTCTGTTTTTTCAGAAAAGTTGGAAGAGGAATTAGGATGAAAATAATGAGGAGCTAGCAGGCTGCGGCTGTGTCCGTCAGCGATGAAGGACTGTTTGGTCATTGGCCTCCATCCACGCCAGTGTGGCCACCAGCTACTAGACTTCAGGACAGGCACCAGCTGAGTGGTCAGAGCATCAGACTTCACGTTTGGAAACACGAGGTGGGTGAGATGATAGGGGGAGAATGGGAAGTATGAGGGCAAACAGTCGTCTAGATGGTTGGAAATTGAGAGCAAGGATGCCCAGCAATGAAGACAAAGTCTAACGTGTGGCAGTAAGTGAAGGGGACTTTTCAAGGGTGTAACTGCCTGGCTCTCCCGGGTTTAGACAAGAACAATACTAGAGAAAGAATGAGGATCAAGAACAGGAAACCTAAAAATATCTGTAATTGAACTGTAGTAGAGTAAAGGGGTTTTGTCGGAATCTGAATGCATTCCTGGCAGGTTGTTTGAGCATGTCATGAGGGCATAAAAGGAAAATAATTACCAGGGATGCTGATGAACAGAAGAATCAAATGGAAGGCAAGTAATTGAATGAAAACAATTTTGTCAACTGAGACCTGAGGATGGATATTACTAGCAATGATATGGTTCTAATTAATTTTAGGTTATTTGCTTGTGCGGCTGTGGAAGAGCGTAACAGAGACTTTTTAGATCAAACAGAAATGTAATCGCAACTAGAAAAGTTCTATGGAGACCAATAGATGTATGTGCCCAATCTCTTAGGTCAAACCCACATCTCACAGACTTGACTTCTCTGAACAAATATTTCACCAGGGAGACCAAAATGTAGTCATAACAAGTAGAACGGCTGGTATCGGTTCCTAAAGTTAGCTTTGGACGAAGCGTTCTCTTCCGGTCTGTATGGGAGCCGATGGGCCGGAAGTCAGTTGCACTGATTAAAATGAGATTCTCATTAATAATCAGAAACAGGAGAAATAAGGCCTCGATCATGTGTCATTGTGACTCAGGAGCAGCAAGAGCCCAAACAATGATTTGGTGTGCTGTGAGACATCAGCTGGCACCGTGAGCAGACCGTCCCAGAGTCAATCCCGCACCGTGAGCAGACCGTCCCAGAGTCGATCTGGCACCGTGAGCAGACCATACCAGAGTCGATCCAACGTTAATGTGTGGTTAGCGCGAGACCTGCTGTTGTAGCAGGCTTCCTACTGGCGGGCCAGAAAACTCCTTCAGCTGCAGATACAGTCACATGTATGAACAACTTTACACAGTCATACCCAATCCTTGAAGAAGCCAGATGCCTTCCCCCCCCCCCCCTCCCCGGAACCCAGCCAGGAGGTTGACCATGCAATTCTTGGTCCCCGATTTAGTTCCTCTTCACGTTGTTTCTCGTCCTCTATCGGCAGGAAATGCATCTTTTGTATTCTTTCTGTACTTCAATGGGAAAGTGGGAAACTGTCCTAGCACTGAAAATACATAGAATCCAAGCCTGAATGCAGGTCTACTGTGCGTGGCCTGGAGGCTCTGCCCCAGGAATGAGGATCACATCCTCCAAGGTACAGAATCACCAGACAGGTTGTCATAGTAACAGTGTTGGCGGCAAGTGGCAGGCAGTCCCCAAATGTTGACCACAGGGAAGCACAGCAGGAACTGTGAGGGTAACACCTGCTGACAGCCTGTGACCCTTCTTGGAAAATATTGTCTATATCACCGATTTGTGTCAAAAAGACTAATAGGAAACATACAGAAATGTATGCCTGAAAGCCCAGGAGAAATTAATTTATTTCAAATGAAACAGTGCAAGTCATAGGTTCTCTCAGTTCAGAAGCCAAGCCCTGGAAATGTCCGATGCAATTTGCCCGTCTCATCTTTGATAATACACCTGAGATTGGTGCTAATTGTCCAGGCTGTCGAATCAGCCAGGTCTCTTGCAGTCACATCCGTGTAGACAGCAGAGGGTTCATCTCACCAGCCACTGCCTTGACCTCCAGACTACCCAGGCTCTTGTTACTCACACCAACTTCTACACTCTGAAGACAGATCTCTGTAAGAATGTCCTGGTGGTGCAGGCCTTTAATCCCAGGGAGACAGAGGCAGGCAGGCCATTCTGAGTTCAAGGCCAGACTGCTCTACATAGCAAGTTCCAGCCCAACAAGGACTATACAGTGAGTCTTATCTCTGGAAAAAAAAAAAAGAAAAATTCCGTTAAAAATGTGATTTTGGACCAGCAAGATGACTTGGCAAGAGAAGGCACTTGCTGTCAAGCCAAACAACTTGAGTTCAATCCCTGACCCTATCCTTTGACCTACACACACACACACACATACACACACACACACACACACCCTGTAATTTTAATGTGATTTCATTCATCCCATGAAAGCAGATTACAAACAAATAGCAAAACAAGCATCTGCCTCCTAGTTCACCCTAGAAGCCTGTGATAGTTTCCACTTTACCCAATCTTCAACATTGACTATGTGTACTGTGGGTAGCCATTTTTCTCTTTATTGGTGTGTGTGTTTGTGTGTGTGTGTGTATGTGTGTGTGTATGTGTGTGTGTGTATGTGTGTGTGTGATGTGTGTTTAAGCCTCTGTATGAGTGTGCTCATCTGCACACAAATATGTTGAGGCCAGAGGTCAATGGTGGGCATACTCCTCCGTTGGTTTCCGGTTATTCTTTGAGGCAGGATCTCTCACTGAACCTGGAGCTCACTTTTTCAGCAGCCCCGACTAACATTGAGCTCCAGGGAATTTCCTTCCTCTGCCGCCTCAGGGCTGAATTGACAGATGTTCACCACCATACCTGGCTCTCATGGACACTGGGAATGCTCCCTCAGGTCCCACACTTCTATTGAGCTATCTTTCCAGCTCTGCTCAGTCTTTGCATGTGAGCCTTTTCACCTCGCTTGCTCCTCAGCCTGCTCGAATCAGGTTTCTGCTCCCTCTGTTCCAATCATGGGCCTCAAATCCCAGCCTCAAATCACCCTGAATAAGAGTGACACATTTCTACAATTCATAGCCCTAGCGAGGCCAGATAACAGAGGGCCCAAAGAGGCATGCATGGATTTCCCAGAGAAGAAGAAATAGAAGAGATATCTTGAGTAAACTGGGGGTCAGGGTGAGGGTGGGGAGTGGAACTTGAGGAAGTCAGAGGGGGAGAGTAACGAAAGAGATAAGAAGGCCATTTCGGGGTGAGGGAGAAAACCGGTGCCAGGGAAACTCCCAGAAACCCACAAGGACGACCCCAGCCAAGACTCCTAGCAATAGTGGAGAGGGTGCCTCAACTGGTCGTCTACTGTAATCAGATTGGTGACTACCCTAATTGTCACTAGAGAGCCTTCATCCAGTAAGTGGTGGAAGTAGATGCAGAGACCCACAGCCTAGCACTGGGCCAGTCTCAGGGAGTTCTCCTGAAGAAAAGGACGAGGGATTGTATGAGCCAGGAGGAGGGTAGGGAAGATGATGGGGGCGGAGATGGATGGGCTCAGGGGTGGGGGACAGAAACAGCTAACCTGAGCTCACGGGAGCACATGGACTCTGAACCGATAGTTAGGGAGCCTGCCTGGGACCGACCTAGGCCCTCTGCATGTGTGTGACAGTTGTGTATCTGTTTGTAATGCTCCTAGCAGTGTGGTCAGGACCTGTCCCTGGCACTCAGCTGGCTTTTAGGAACCTGTTCCCAATGCTGGATTACCCTGCCCAGACTTGATGCAGGGGGAGGAGCTTGGTCCTGCCTCAATTTGATGTGCCATGCTTTGTGCAAGCCCATGCACGGCCTGCCCCTTTCTGCATGGAGAGAGAGGAGGAGTGGAAGGGAAGTGGGGTGGGAGGGATGAGAGGAGAGGAGGAGGAGGAAGGGGAAACTATGGTCGGTATATAAAATAAATGAAAAAAATGCTAAATAAAATAAAATTTAAAAAGAGAGAGAGAGAGAGAGAGAGAGAGAGAGAGAGAGAGTAACAGGTTTCAACCCAGGGGTAGTGGCGGCTCACACCTCTAATGCCAGCACTTGGGAAACAGAGGCAGGCAGGTCTCTGAGTTCGAGGCCAGCCTGGTCTACAGAGTGAGTTCAAGGACAGCCAGGGTTACACAGAGAAACCCTGTCTTGAAAAACAAACAGACAAAAAGCATGACAAGTCTCAGCTGTCAGGTCCCCCGTGCTTCTGCTGATGTTTCCATGAGAAATCACTGCTGGCTCTGTTTGTCTCTCAGCACCTCGTCTGCCTTTCTGTCCCATCTCCCACCAGCTCTATCACTTCCTTCATTCCGTAGTGAACTTCACTTCTCCCATTCCTGAGTTTGGAGGGATCTGTCCTTAGCAAACAAGGCGTTTTATTCCCATGTTTGGGCTTCCAAACGCTACCACATCCAGACCTCAGCAAACCAGGGCTGGGAGCACAGCTTAGTGGTGAAGCGTTGAGTCTGGCAATGAGCAAGGACCAGTTCCGTGGTTCCGTTCTTGGCACTGGGGTGTGGGGGCTGGAAATAGGTCAACGAAGTTCCTCAAAGTAGATTTCCTCCAGGCTGAAGCACTTTCACATTGCTAGGTGCTGTTTCTCTGCCTGGGTTACACGTCCTGTCTGATGCAGCCCCAGGATGATGCATCTCAACAGATGTGACCTCACGCTGGGTTTCCCAGAGAGGAAGCTGACCCTGAGCATTATAGGACTTTTGATTTGCTCCAAAAACATGACCTCGAGGGATTTAGAAGACGGAGCTCAGAGAGGAAATCTGACTGTGCTCATTCCAGACTCTGTCCCCTCCGAAGTTGTTGTCCTCCAGATTTTGCTTCTCCCTATGGCGTCCTTATTATCATTTTGGAGTTGGCCTTGGGGCAGGGGTCTGTGTCGCAATGAGAGTAGAGGACCCCAGGGAACTGACAAATGAGTTCCGTCAGCGTCCCCCAAGCTTTCTCATATATTATGGGAATTTAAATGAAGCCAGCTCACCGAGCTCTAGACCGGAGTTTTCACCTCTAAGAGCGGACTTCCTCCCTCTATTTCTAGCAGTCTTCTCTGGAAACCCCGCCAGCCACCCTGAATCTCTTTTCCATAAGGTTGAGTCACGAAAATAGAATCACGAGAAGATCTAGTGTGAGCACTTTGCCCTCTGAGTGAGAAGAGCCTAAGGCAAAGCAAGGAAGGCAGTGCTGCTGCTTCCGTGGGAAAGAAAGCAAACTGAAACTCAGAATCAGGAAAACTGCTTCCAGGTAGTCATCTTCAGGAAGTGGTCATACTTGGAATGTTCTAGAATTTCAGGAAGGAGCTTTAAACATAAGACCACGGAGTGAGCCTTCACATAGCATGTATGCCTTGCCAGGAACTATGGTTTACATGCTTGCGTATTTGTGATTATTTTTCCTGAGGACGTCTACAGTTTTTATCAAATTCTCAACATCCCTCTAAGGTAAGAATCACCCAAAGAATAACGTGATAATTATGTGTTGCTGCCAAACCACAAAGAGAGTGCAGCACCATCACATCGTTACCTCATCCGAGCTGGGGAGCGACCGCTCAGTTGAAGTCCGCTATGCACCCAGGAAGTCAGCTGAGGCTTCTGTCACTGGGGGATTTGTTTTCAAGATGGCTCACCCACATGGCTTTTGGCAGGAGGTCTCGATTGCCATACAGACCTCCCCACTGAACTTCATGGGGTATCCTCACCATGCGGTAATTGGTGCCTGCCACAACCCCTGCCCTTTATCCCCAGCATCTGAGTAAGAGAGAAGGCAGAAGCACCTTCCAAGACTGTGCCGAAAGTCCTAAATGCAAATGCTGTTAGTTCTTCCATGGGCCGTGCAGTGAAAAAGGCAGCTTGCTCTCAGGAGGGGAAATATGGCTTCATCTTTGAAGGAGAAAATATCATAGAACTTGTGTTCATATTTCCAAATTATTAACTGGTTTTAAAAAAAAAACACCCGACCATACTTTATATAAGAAGAAAATTTACACAAGCACATCCGAACATTCCTGTCATTTATTAGACAAACATTTATAAGCCAGTCAGGGAAAGGACATTTATAAGATCCACTCTGTGGGCTCAATGAAGTCCTACCTTGTGTCCCTTTAAGTGATCGGATGAATGATCCTCTGAAGAAAGGGTTAATAGAGCAACATGTTATCTTTGTGGCCAGCATCAGTGTGTTAGGCTGTTTTCCCTCTGCTCCAATGAAATACCTGGGGTGGGCTGACTATAAAAGAGAGAGAGAGGAGAGAGTTATTAACTCACACATCAAAAGAGTCAAGGTTATGGTGCTGGCATCTGCTAGCTCTGACGTGGAGGCCACGGCAGCTGGCCGAAGTACAAAGGAGAGGGCAAGACCACATCACCCAACAGGAAGCCAGGGAACACAGGGCCCTGTAATCCCCTCTGAGGGCACGCTCCCAGCACCATGGCATCCCTCCTGAAACCCCCTCTTAAAGGCCCAGATCACCTCCTAAAACTGCTATGCAAGGAGCTGGAGAGGTGGCTCAGTGGTTCCGAGCACGTGTTGCTGTTAAAGACGATCTGGATCAGTTCCCAGCACCCACATGGCGGCTCACAGCCAAGTGTAGCTCCAGTGCCAGGGAATCTGACACCCTCTTCTGTCCTCTGCAGGTACCAAGCAGGCACATGGTACACACACATACATGAAACACTCATTCACCTTATGAAAAATAAATCTAAAATTTTTAAATTGCACACACACACACAAACACACAAAACTAAGCTTCTAACACGTGAAATCTTAGAGGACACATTCAAACATCAGTCATAGCACCAGAAACCCTATGGGCATGGCACCCAGATGCCAGCTGAATTTAAGGTCAAAAGTAACATACCATTTTTGCAAGTCCATGCCATGACCCTTTCTTTCTTTCTTTTTCTTTCTTTCTTCTTCTTCCCCCTCTCTTTTGGTTTTGGAAGACAGGGTTTCACTGTGTAGCCTTAGCTGCCCTGGAACTCACTTAGTAGACCAAGCTGGCCTTGAACTCACCGTTCTCCTGTCTCAGTCTCCCTGGTGCTAGGATCACTGGTGTGAGCCACTCTACTGAGCTCTCAATGGACTCTACTATACTGTTCAGATGTGTGTGCCCAAATGTGCCCATCCACACACCCCAACTGTCTTTAATTTCATCAGCAAGAGTCATTTCTAGCATTAGCATGTTAATCACAAAGCCATCAATTACACTAGGAAAGAATCCATTTCTGATCCATAGCATGTTAATGAGCAGAGTACCTACTACAGAAAATACAGATGACTTGGGCACTTGCAGTGGCCACCATGGAAGGCTGGCGGGACTTGGTGTTAGCTGATCTTGTTGAGGGTATAGATGGTTAAGCTGGGCATGATGGCACATTTTTGTAATCCCAGACTCAAGAGATTGAGGCAAGAGGATTGAGAATTTGAGGTCATCACTGGCTCACAATACATTCAGAGTCTTGGGACTATATCCCAAGAGTTTGTTTTCAAACAAACAACAAAACAAAACTATGACAACGCATAGTAAAATAGCATGGGTCATGGGTTAGAACGTAGATGTCCCCCTAAAGCTCATGTGTTGAAGTGTGTTATCCAATGGAGCAGTGTTCATGGGCAGGACCTTAGGAGGTGGGGCCTGTTTGGTTAAAGTTGGTCACTGGAGACTGCCCAGGAAGGATATATTTTGCCCGGACCCTTTTCCTTCAGCGCCTCTGCCTAATGAGATAAAACAGCTCTGTCCTGACACATTCTCCCTACCACGACATCCTCTCCACCCCAGGAATAGCAACGGGGCCAAGAAACTAAGGTGTGAGACCAGGAAGCAAGGAAAGCGTCCTTCTTTTCAAACTGTTGTCTCTGGTATTTGGTCGTGGTGAGAGAAAGGCAGCTAACAGGGAAAGCTGGCACGGAGAAGTAAGGTTGTGGTGACTGCACCTGACATGTTCAGAAGCTCCGAGTAAGCAGAAGCGTTAGAAAGATCTGGAGAAGCCAAGTAGAAAAACATGACAGCCGTTACGCAAAACTTAGTGGGCAATTCTAGTGGGATTTCAGACCAGACGCCGGCAGGAGCACAGGCAGCACAGAGAGAAATGAGGGCTGTGGGAAGTGAAACAAAGGCCGTTCGTGTTATATTCTGGAAAAGCCCTTGTCCTGATGAGTGCATCTGTCATTGTAATAAAATGCCGTGATCAAAAGCAGTTTGGTGAGGGTAAGGGTTTGTTTGCTTCACTCATCCATCAGCTGAGGGAAGCTAAAGCCGAAAGCTGCTGGCGGGAACTGAAGCAGAGACCGTGCGCAAACTCTGCCAACTGCCTTGCTCCCCATGGGTTACTTAGTCTGCTTTCTTAGTCACCTCAGGACCACCTTCCTAAGGGTGGCACTGCCCACAGTGGGCTGGGCCCTCCCACATCAATTATCAAGCAAGAAGAGGCACCACAGACTTGCCTATAACCGATCTATGGAGGTATTTTTTCAGTTAAAATCCCTTCTTCCCAGATATATCTAGGTTCGTATCAAGTTGACAAAAATCAGCCAGCACAGAACTTGTTTGCATTTTGTCTGTTCCCTGAGACCATGCATTTGGTGGAGAAGATTTTGAGCAGAATAACATTCTGGCTGTGACAGGAGTTTCACTGGATGCTTTTACTCAATTTACAGTGGGAATCAGAAACAAAAACCAAAATGGAAAGATTTGAAAATTTTGCCCAGAAAAGCAATGTATGTAAATTGGGACCAAGCGAATGCAGTGATGAGAGAGATTGATGTCATTAAAAAGACTACTCGGTTGGCAGAGTGCTTGCTGAGCATGCTTGAGGGCCTGGATTTGGTCCCCATCACATAAATCAGGCATAGTAACACATGCCTGTAGCCCCAGCACTCTGGAAGTGAAGGTAGGAAATTTGGGATTATAGTTCAAGGTCATACCCAGCCATATAATGAGTTTGAGGCCAGCCTGGGCAACACAAGACACAGTGGACTTTAGAACATTAGCAGGACTTTACCTCTGCAGCCTCAAAGCCTACCAGTCTAAATCCTTCATTTGCATTCTGCTCCCATGGGACCACCGAGGAAGCGATTTCCCAGGAATCTCCTTCGCTGCCTTCAGACATTCCCAGGTCACTGTAGCCCTGATCCCAGGAGGGGTTCAGATTCTGCTCCTCCTGGTGACGGACCTTGATGTCATCCACATGGTGTTGATTTTGCAGGCTTGCACAGCACAAGACTTGCAGGGTCACAGGGGTATCCCAAGAAAGCCTGGAAGGCCAGTCAGTGAGCAGCAAGATCAGAGTCCCTGCAAGGAGCTGCCGGGAGAATAATAACTGAAGCCATACGAGTGAAACCAAAGCTAGAATGGGGGGACCCCGGGAAAACGGACACGCCAGTACCACATAAGTTCAGCTGAGAGTGCCACAGGTAACAAGGACAGTTACCCGTGGCCAAGAGAGTGATCATATAAAGCTTCAGCCATCAAGGCTACATGGGTGACCAGGCCTGTGGGAGCTCTGTGTGCCCCACTGTGGGCACAGCTACACAATTCAGTGCTTGTTTTAGAGTTTCGGTCTCACCTTGGTTTGGTTTTTCCTTGCTCTCTTCCTACTTTTCCCTTTCAGAGTGGGAATGCACTGTATGCTGTTAATAGCTTGGAAACACGTACCTTGGCTTTTGGTTTTTACAAGGGCCCCACTGTTGTATTTGCTGTGCATCTCACACTAAACTTTGGACGTGGACCTTCATGCTACGTTGAAACAGTTACAACACTGGCAGCTTTCGGGCATGACTGGATAAATTTGGTGTTCCGAGACAGCCAAGAACCTTGGGGGAGTAAGTGGAATACTTTGATACTTTGACTTGAATCTTGAGTATCTCACCAAAAAAAAAAAAAAAAGATGGATTGAAGTCTTGGATCCCAATGCAGTAGTGTTGAGATCTAGGACTTTGGGGAGGTGATTGCCTCATGTGATTCACTTATATAATCATAACTTAGTAGGCTTCTTTTGGATAATGGAATTGTGGTAGGAGCCTGGGGCTGGCAGCCCCAACAACCCAGTCTCAGGCACCTGCTCTCAACAGGACGATTAAAGATGCACACGGTAGTGGAAAACAGAGGGGCCAGTTAAGAAGAGGAGCAAAGAAGATCATGACATGCCCCAGCCCCAGTTCCTCTGAGTTCCTAGCATGAGGCTTTAGTTTAGAGGGTTCAAGACTTGCACAGCCAAACAGTCCTGGTCAAAGTGTGGCCCCATCTGCCGTTGTCTCAGCTCCGCTCTCTCTTGTGAGATGGTGTCACAAGCTGTTCATATCAGTGCGACGTCTCTTCCTGGGAGACAAGCTGCCCTCTCTGTAGGGGCAGGCTCCCAGCCTTTCCCTTCCCTCAGCGTGAGATTCCTGGAGAAATTCTACTGTCTTGGGGTTATTGTTTCAATAGTTCAATCGCCAAAGGAAGAGACACAAGTGTCTCTAGAATAGCTTAATTCCTTCCAGGATGCTTACAATGCTGGAAGCCCTGGAGGCAGAGTCTACGTGGAGGAAGTGGGTCATCGGCAACATCCGCTATCATCATGAGAATATGCATTTTATCCCAACAACATCCGCTACTGTCATGATGTGATCAGCTTTGTCCACTGTGAGCAGTCACTGGCCCTTGGGGCCAAGCCACAATGTACCAAAACCTGGGAATTCATAGCCCAAAATTTATCTTCGCTGAATGTTTAATCAGAAGGACAGAAATCTGACCAATGCACCATAACTTCATGACAAGGCGAGTCACAAACGGGAAAGGTTTATGACACACACAGATATAAAGGAACACAATACAAAGACTTGTATAAACCAATGGGAAACAGACAGACATGGTACACAGTCACTTTGTCACGAGGCTGAGCAGAGCCCATAGGACAGCGTTGCCAGGATGCTTTGCATCCAGATATTCAACACACTGTTATAAACAGGCTTGTGTTCAGGGATTTCACTCAACTGATTTAGGTGTTCTGGGCATATTTGGATAAGTGAGACTAAGCTATTGTATTTGTTAGGTTAAATCCATTAAGGACACTTTTAGCTTGTGGTATTTTAACCTGGGGAGGGTTTGCTCAATGTTCACCATGGTAAGTTAAAGGGCAGCTGTGCCAATCAATGTTGGAAGAGATGTGTAAAATGATACGAGAGAACCACCGAGCTGGCTCAGTCGTTTGCGAGCTTGTGGCTCTTCCAGAGGACCCCAGTTCAGTGCCCAGCTCTTACATTAGGCACTTAGGACTTCAGCTTTGGGCTGAAGGGTGGGGATGGGACTCAAGGGCAGAGTACGTTCATGACCTGAGGTACCATCCAACACAATAAAAAGAAAAGAGAAAAGCTCTATTTATTGGGTTGAAGGCTATATTCGTTGTGTTTTACATTTATTCATCCTTTTGTGGGGGGGGTGCGGAGGATTCAAGACAGGGTTTCTCTGGGTAGCCCTTGCTGTGCTGGAACTCACTCTGTAGACTAGGCTGGCCTCGAACTCAGAGATCCCTCTGCCTCTGCCTCCTGAGTGCTAGGACCAAAGTCATGTGCCACCACACCCAGCTCATTCTTTTGTTTTTAAGCCAGGATCTCTCTATGCTGCCAGGGTGAGCTTAAACTCATGATTCTCCTGCCTCAGCCCCTTATATGTGGGGATTACAGATATGTGCCACTACATCTCGCTATATTAGTCTTCATATTTTTGTGCTTATTAAATATTATAAAGTCAGGCTTAAAAATAAACTCTAGTTTACAGTTTTCCTATCGGGCTAGGTTCTTGTTGCTGGGTAACAAGCTGCCCAAAGTTAGTGCTACACTGATTTACCGTCTGCGGCTCAGGTCCTGGGACAGAGCAACTTAGGTTCACAAATCTTCTGCTCACACTTATGTATCTTAATTCAAATATTGTTTAATGTATTTTTATCTGTAATCGTTTTACTTGCATGCATGTCTATGCACCATGTGCATGTCCGGTATCCACATAAACCAGAATAGGGTGGATCCTTGAGCTGGAATTAGAGGTGGTTGTGAGCCACCATGTAGGTGCTGGGAATTGGACCCCAGTTCTCTGGAAAAGTATCCAGTGCTCTTAACCAATCAACCATCTCTCCAGCCCCCAAGTTTTCTGTATTTCCACATAAATTAAAAAACATATTGATAAAGGAAAATGAACTTATTTACAGTTTGGCCAAATGGTAGACAAAGACCCCTGGCCTCCCCATGCCTTCCTGGGGCATATTTCAGTGTTAGAGGAAAGACTAAAGAAGAGCAGAGATGTACTTACACTGATTTGGCTGTGAGCTCTCCTCAGAACTGTGTGCTTGCTCCTCTCCCCAGCCCGGCTTTAACTCTCTTACTGGCATGGGTTTCCTGAAGAAATTTGAATTCTTTGGGGTCAACTGTTTCAATTGTTTGAAAGTGGAAGGAAGGGTAACGAATGTCTCTCTCTAGAAGGAAGAGTCAGTGGTCAGGTGTCAACAAAGGCTCACAGTGCAGCCCCCATCCTCAGAGTGGTCCACACAGCATTTTCAATCCTGGTCTGTTCTCATCATCATATGTCTGAATTTGACCCTCCTGCCTTCCTCTCCTGAGGGTCCTTTTGATGACACTGAGTTTGCCTACAAAATCCAGCATAATCTCCTCACGGCTCAGAATCCAGAAGCCATAACTAGTCACATCTAAATTCTCCTCTGTGTGTAACATGACATCTGCAGGTCCAAGGGTTAGGATCACAGACATCTCTGAGGTGTTTGTCTGCCTGCTACAGATGCTGAAATATTTGGCAGACCCGAATTCTGTGACTCTTGTAGCTCAGGAAAAAGCCCCGTATGACTTAGCTCTGAATCGAGTCTCTGTACTGGGGAGACCCAGATGGTCATAGACCAATCAAAAGGTGAAGGCTAGTGGTGGAGGCTCATGGCTGGAAACCCCATGTAGAGACTGGCTGTGGAAACATGAAAGTGAATCTAAATGCTACAGACCTACCTGGAACAGCCAGGCTTGGTTATAAATACAAATATAACCCTGACACTCTGCTGTGTGAAGCCCCGTCACGATTCCCCCAGGCTTTAGAAAAGGGAACAAAAAAAGTCCAAAAGTGGTCCTAGAAGAAGGCTTGTCACCTTCAGCCCTGATGACACCCTGGGCCAGGCCATTCTTTGTGGCCAGGGGCTGATGACACCCTGGGCCAGGTCATTCCTTGTGGCCAAGGGCTGATGACTCTCTTGGCCAGGTCATTCCTTGTGGCCAAGGGCTGTCCCGTGCATTGCTGGGAGTTTCACAGTTTCCTTAGCGTGACCCACTAAACCCTGTACATCCTTATGACAATCAGCTGAATGTTCCCAGAGGACAGAATGGTACCCAACTAAGATGCTCTGTTCCAGGAGAGCCTTCAGGACTTGTCTGACCATTGTCCATCTTGGGCCCTCTTCTTAAGCTACCTGAAAGATAAACCGTGAGGAGTGTCTCTCAGCAGAACACACTGTCCCTCTACCTCAAGATTTCTGCGTACTCTTCCTTTCCTGCCAGAGATTGGTTTCCTTGTGTCTGGGTCAATGTTTCCTGCTCACCCTTTGTCTTGCCCCTGCCCTTCGAGGCTACCCACTGCATGCTAAGACAGTCTGTACTCTGATCCTCCGTACACCTATCTTCTTAACCGCCAGCCCCACAGACTCTCACTTCTTAGGAGCAGAGATTGTGACCCTTGGTCCTCCCTTAGTCGCTAGTGTTGCTCACTGGGTAGACACTGCTGCCCAGGCTACTGCTGAACCGCATCAGACAACCAAGGCAGGAGTCAGAGTGTGAAGCACGGCAGATCAGTCCTTAAAGAAGGAGACGATTAAGAGTCAGCTTGAGTCTTGATAGTGCTAGTTGGTCCTATGACAGTTAACAGGTATCCTGGGTATGAAAAAGTCTCACTCTGAGGGCAGTGAGCTCAGGGTTCCTGCCCTTCAGAATCCCCCACTCCCATCCCCAGGACTCCTGTCAAGTTATGCCCTTCCTGGGGAATCGTAGCACCATGAACTTGGAACCTACCCATGATTCCCCGGGAGAGGAGACAGCTCAGCCGGGAGAAGGCTACTCCCTGTCAGCCCAGGTATAGTAGAGCAATCACGGGGCTCCCAATCAGAGAAGTCCAGATCCTGGGGTGTCCCCTGTCGCCTACTCATCCTGGGTCAGTGAAATGCAAGTGTCACAAAAACCAGCTGCAGTCTCAGCAGTGCTCCTCAGGGGACCCCAGGAAAAACAGAACACCACAAAACAACCCTCTGAAACAGCAGAGCTCACCTCTAGGTGGGGTTGCCAGAATCCCCCAGGACATGAAGTCAGTTCTCCTGCTTTCCCATGCCCCGTAAGGGGGTTCATCAGGCTCCACCCCATTCCTGGCGGGGTCCCAAATATAAACCCCTGCATCCCACGAAGGCATCAGTCTCTGAGCTGAGTTTCTTAACTTTGGTCAAGATACGGATAAATATGCAATTGTTGTATTATTATTCACTTAATGTTCCTTTAGATGTGCATATATGTGTATACATCTTCATCTGTAATAAAAATAAAGTTCTGATTATACAACTAACACATCCACTGTAAAAAATAAAAACGTTAAGTAACTCAAAAAAAATGGTAAGAAAAAAATACCTTTCCTATATCTCGTTACCCAAATACAGACATAATGTGACTTTGGCACACAAGGCAAATGAGTTAAAAAGAAAACATTCCGTTAGCACTATTGATAGTAAACTCCATGACGTGCCAGAATAGAAGGTAATCCCCCCATACAAGCACAATAAAAACAGAAGAGTGTGGTTAAAAAGTTACACACCAGAGTTCTCCAAGGCTTCTGAATCTGAGGTGAGAGTCCTCGGGCACTTGAAGGGGGTGACAGCAGTGTTAAAGGGGAAGAGCACTTTACAGCTTTTATTTTCTCCAAGCTGCATCCCAAAGGCCTGGTCAGTTGAATGAAATAGTTAAAATTTTCTGTGTTATCGAATCCCATGTCTGTGAGAGGCTTAAACTTTCTGGGTGGTTCTAAGCACCTCTCACATTCTGTGAAGAAGGAAGGGGGTAGACCCCGCGAGTACCAGGCCCTGAGGGCTCCACGCACGACAGCAGAACGCTCCAGCCTTCTGCCCGTCACTGGAGCCATCCAGTACTGGGAAGCCTCTCCCAGCACCACTAGGGCACAAGGTCCCAGTCCCCAGAGGCAGCTCTCTGGCCTTCCGAGATGAATGTACTCTTTATTCTAGAGTCGGAGCCGAAAGGAGATCCCAGCATTCTCCTCTTCCACAAAGCCTGTGTCAGATACCCACATTTCTGGGCAGAAGACCAAAAGTCGCCTGTGTGTTGGGAGTTATCTGAGGCAAAAAGAACCTTCCCATCATGGGTGAGGCTCAAGAAGAGGACAGCTACAGTAGGGGAGAATAGAGTTTAAATTTAGGAAGTCACCGTGCTCAGTTGGCCATGAACTTGCACCCTTGCTTGGCGGCTATGCTTGCCCTGTCCTTACCCTGCTCTGGGCAACAGAGCAAAGCCATGAACTGTTCAACACGTGGTCCTGGGACAATTAGGTACCCATCTCAGAAAAACACACACACACACACACACACACACACACACACACCTCACTGTGGATCGAAGACTTCAAAGAAAAATATTAAAGCTTCTAGAACGTATAAAATAATGGCTTTCTGTTTGTTTGATTTTGAAACAGTACTTCAAGTTTGAGGCTAGCCTCAAACTGGTTGTGCAGTGGAGAACCGATCTTCAACTCCTAATCCTCCTGCCTCCTCTTCCTGGGTGCTGGGATTACAGGTGTTACCACCATGTTCAGGCTGGAAAGATTTTTCTTTAAAAGACGCTGTCTTGGTTAGGGTTTCTATTGCTGTGAAGAGACACATGACGACAGCTACTCTTATAAGGGAAAACATTTAATTGGTGCTGGCTTACATTCAGATGTTTAGCCCGTTATTGTCATGGCAGGAAGCATGGGAGCACAGGCAGACAGGGTGCTGGAGAGATAGCTGACAGTTACATCTTGGCTGGCAGCAGGAAGAGAGAGACACTGGGCCAGGCTTGATCATTTGAACCCTCAAAACCCACCCCCAGTGACACACTTCTTCCAAAAAGCCCACACCTAATAGTGCCAGTCCCTATGAGCCCATGGGGGCCATTTTCATTGAAACTACCACATTCTATGCTCTGGACCCCATAAGCTTGTAGCCATATCATAATAAAAAATCACATTTAGTCCAACTTCAAAAGTCCCCATTGTCTATCAACGATGCTTAAAAGTCCAAAATTTAAAGTCTCTTTTGAGACGAACAACAATTCTTAAGTAACTCTTTGTAAAAGTCAAAATAAAAAAAGAAGATCACATACTTCCAACACAGAATATACATTACCATTTTAAAAGGGAACAAAGGACACATAGTAAGGAAATACTGTACCAAAGCAAGACCAAAAACCAGTTGGGAAAACTCTAGATGCTGCATTTCCATGTCTAATGTCAAAACTTTCTTTAGATCTCTACCTCGTTTCAGATTTGCTGACTACAACACACTTCTCTCTCTTGGGTCTGTTCCACTCCCTGAGCAATTCTCCTCAGCAGGCATCCCACGGCTCTGGCATCTCCAACATCCTGGGGTCTCCAAGGCAATCCGGGTTTCCCTTCACAGCTTCACACAATGGCCTCTTTAGAGGCCTCCATGCAGCGACACCACTGACAGATGCTTGGCCCCAGTGGCTTTCCTTAAACATGGAGGAATATTTCATGACTGTTGACCGGGTTTTCTGTCCTGCCCAGTTCCCGCAATCATTAAGTCCCAAAGAAATCACACAGAGATCTACATTAGTTATAAACTGGCCCATTAGATCAGGCTTCTAATTAACTCTTATAACTTATATAGCCCATTATTAGCCATATTCTTATCTGTGCTAGCCATGTGGCTCAGTACCTTATTCAGCGGGGCAGTCACATCTTGCTTCTTCTGTGATAGGGTCAGGACTGCAGAGGAATGGGCTTCCTTCTTTCTTCCATTCTCATTGACCCACCTCTACTTCCCGTCTGGTTGTCCCACCTATACTTCATGCCTGGCTACTGACCAATCAGCATTTATTTAAAACATAATTGAAAGAATACAGACATTTGTCCCACACCACATGACCCGTTTCTTCTATCCTTGACTCTAAAGTTAGAACCATGGAGCTAAAGTTGACAAGATCTGCTGTTTGCTGGAGTCATGGCACCCTCACCAGATTTCTATTTTCAATGGTTTCTTTCACCACCTAAGCTTAGTTGTCCTGCAAGTCCCTCTGTAGATCAGGCTGACCTTGAACTTACAGATCTGTCTGCCTTTGCTTCTGTTAAAGGCGTGCACCACCATACCCAGCCCTATATTTTTCTTGAATTCCTTTTCACAAGTTGGAAACTTAGATGGTTGGGTCTTTCTCTGAGGTCACTACTCCCTTTATTCCACTTAGCACCAGGCTTTTCTTCAATCTGTTTATTTCCCTGAGCACAGGACTTAGCTCCACTATACTTCCTGGTACCCCTTTTCTCCTCAGGCTGTCCATTCTACATTTTTCCTTGCTCAGCTTACTCCTTTTCATTATAGATCTGCATAAGACTGACCACCAATAACAATATGACACAGTCAATACTAGACTGTTTTGAAATCTCCTTTGGAAATGCTGTTAGTCCAAAACTCTTCAGTATAGCCTCAGGCAGAATTTTTGATAAGGGCAGAAAACAGCCGCATTCTTCATCAAAATGTAACAAGACCAGCCTCTAGGTCATTTGCTAATATTCTTCTCCTTTAAAACCACTTGAGTCAGACCATCATAATCTACATTACTCTCAGTATCGCTGTCTTCCCTGCTCCTCCTAGTATGGCCCACTAATCCCCACTTAAGTACTTTCCTAATCCAAAGTCCCAAAGCCCACATTCCACCAAGGAGCATGGTCAGGTCTGTCACAACAATAACCCCACTCCTGGTACCAATTTCTGTCTTAATGTTTCTAGTGCTGAGAAGAGACACCATGACCACTTCAACTTTTGTAAACAACTTCAACTCTTTTAAAAGAAAACATTTCAATGGGGCTCCTTACATTCAGAAATCTAGGCAGGCAGCAGAAAGAGAGAGACTGGGCCTGACTTGAGCATTTGAAATCTCAGTACCCGCCCCCCAGTGATGTATTACTTCCAATAAGGCCACACCTCCTGGTAGTGCCAATCCATATGAGCCTATGGGGGCCATTTTTCTTCAAACCACCACAGACACTAAAACAAACTATAAGTAAAATGTTGAAAAGCTGTGTTCCTGTTACCCAAGATTAGCAAAGTTAAAAGACAAAAACTGGGAAAATATGTTTGTATTGCATAGACAGACAAGAGATGAGTATCTAAAACCTATAGAGGTAAAAAGGACTTTCAAAAATAAACATGAAAGGGGTTGGAGAAATATCTGGTCAGTAAAATGATTGTCAGATGAACATGAGGACCTGAGTTCAGTCCTCAGAACTCATGCAAAAATGCCAGCCACAAGGAGTGTTGTGGAGCAGGGACTGCAGGGTCCCTTAGGTCAGAGATCAGGCTAACTGGTGAGCTGTAGGCCAAAGAGAGACCTTGTGTCAAAGGAAGTGGACAATGCTCCTGAAGATGACATTTTAGGTTATTCATTGGCCTACACACACACACACACACACACACACACACACACACACAAATATATTAAAATATATATATATGAAGTTTATATAATTCAATGGTAGAGCATTTGCCTAGCATCCATGAGCCCTGGTACTGAAAAACAAAAATAAAATAAAACAAACAAATTCCCTGAAGGAAATACAGTAAAAACAAACAACAAACAAAACCTTTTGAGCAGGAGCTGAACAGAGTGGCTCACACACACCCGTAGTCCCAGCCCTTGAGAGGCACAGGGAGGGAGACTCCAGAAAATTCAACACCAGCCGGAGCTACATATTGAGAACCTGTGTCAATAAACACAAACAAACATCAGCAGGACTGAACAGAAAACTCACAGGCCAGGAAAGAAAAACACCCAACAAACCTAGAGAAAGATGTCTAACTGCTGGTCAGAGAAACACTGGTTAACACTACCTGAAATAGCAATTCCCAACTGCATGATCAGTAAAAAACATAGAAGTCTAACAGTGCCATGAGGGCTCCCAGCTGTGGCCTGTGTTAAGTGAGTCTCAAGAAGCCAGCCTGTGGTCGCCCTTCTCACTCCAGATCATCTTCGCAGGCTCAGCTCAGAACATGCCTTTCTGCCTTTAAAAAGCATATATGAATGTGTAGATGCATGTGTACCACGTGTGTGCAGATGCCGGTGGGGGTCAAAAGATGCGTCAGATGTCTTAGAACTGTGTTTCCAGGTAGTTACGGGCTGCCTGGTGTGGGTGCTGGGAACGGAACGGGGGTCTTCTGCAAGAGCAACAGATACTCCCAACTGCTGTGCTTCTCTGCAGCCCCCTTCCTGTGGTTAGACACCGTCTGTGGATCCCTGTTCCCCGCAGAGCAACGACTCTGTAACTGCTGCCTTAGCCTTGCATCACGAAAGTATAACTCGCTCTGTGTGCCCTCACTCGGTGTTCTTCCTGCTCTTCCCGTGAAACTTACTGTCTAGGCTGAGCTATCTCTTTTAAGGCCTACCCACATGGGATATTAAAAGGTGGCTGAGGAATAACAGAATGGGATTCCTTTATGCTATAGAAGAGAATGTGGAGGGGGAGTTTGGGGGGGGGGGGGCGCGAGGGAGGAGGCTCTACTCAAGGCCACACCCGCGCCGTGAGAGAGAATCCGAGCTGCCAGCCTCCCAACCCCTCCTCACGGCTCCAGCCCCCACTCCCCACCCCCGCCCCCGCCCCACAAGTTAATTCCTGACTGAAATATCACAAGCCAAACTACCGGGATGTCAGGAGTCCAACCCACCTGTCTCCCCTCACATCACCCTAATTGACACAGCCCAGGAATGACAGATACCATTTGTCATGAAACAAAAATACCGCAGGATGCTGGATCCAGAGAGTACTTTCTGAGCTGGCGGCCTGCTGGTCCCAACACGCCATAGGGCCCTTGTGTTCACCGCATCTGCAGGGAGCAAGAGCTGTCTCTGTAATTGGGTTAGTCCTGTGGGGTTGCCCCAGGTGTCAAAAGAAATTAGACAGAAAGGCACCGCCACCTGGACCCCAGCTCGGCCGCAGGCTGAAGCCAGAAGGAAGAAACAGTCACTAATGGCCCAGAATGCCCGGCTGTGCCCCTGACTGCTGCAAGCCCTACACTCCAGCCGCGGCTGAAAGGGCCCCTGTGAGCTGCAGATTGGAGGTGGGAGTGTGGGTGCAGTGCCTGGAAGGTTCCAGATGCCTGCGAGACCTTGTTCAGGTCTCGGTGCCTAAAAGAGGAATGATCCTAAGATGCAAATTTAAAATTAAAAAAAAAAAAGCCAATGTAGCAGGTCACAAGGGAGACAAGAGAAAAATGGAAAAAAAAAAATCTTTCCCCTGCTTTTTGAACAGAAGCCCTTCAGTTTCACTTCGCGCTGGACCCCACTAGGCAGAAGGCAGGCTCTCCCTGAGCCCAGCAGTTTCTACACTAATGGGCGAACTGGGAGCATTGTTCCCACCAGTGCCCATTAAAGCCGAGCTGCTCTGGCTGAGGCCATTATCATCTTAGCTATTCTCAGCCTCGGCAAGCCGAGCACTCACCTATAAACGCTACAGGTTATAATGGCAAATCCACAGAGCCCAGATCCAGAATCGGAAGCAGGTGGGGAGGTGCT